CTCTGTTGCAGTTTGTCCCAGGCCCTGGTTGGGATTGTGTGGGTGGCAACCAGTTGATGTGTCTCTCTCACATCAATGTTTCTCTCTCTCTCTTCCTCCCTCTCTCCCTCCTGCTGTATCTGAAGATAATGCAAAGAGTGTCCTTGGGTGAGGATTAAAAAAAAAAAAAAAGACTTCTGGTCAAGATGGCAGTGTAGGTAAACACATTCTCACCTTCTTCCACAACCACATCAAAATTACAACTAGACTACAGAACAATCTTCCTTCAGAACCGCCTGAAATCAAGCTGAATGGCAGTCCCACGACTACAAAATTAAAGAAGCAGCCACATCAAGACTGGTAGGAGGGGCAGAGGTGCAGGCTGGCCCCACACCCATGTGTGGCAGATAAAAATCAGGATACCTTGGCTGTGAAGGTCCTCCCTGAGGAGCGAGGGGTCCCTGTCCCACACCAGGCACCCAGCTCAGGATTCCAGTGCCAGGAAGAGAAGTCCCCATAACACTTGGCTGTAAAAACCAACAAGAACTGAGGCTGAGGGATGCTGAGGCTGCTGGAGCCCCAAGCAGCTCCTCTTACAGGCCCACCCCCCGCCCCCCCGCACATGGGTGTACTTTGACCTGTAGCCTCTAGCCTCCAGCGTTGGAGAGGCAGCTTAAAAGTCACCAGTCATATGAGGAAAAACTTAGTTGTTTGGCATCGGGGCGAGGACTGGAGAAGCAGCTTTCTCCTGGACAAACTTGCTGATAAAAGCCCTTGTTATTTTGGTGAGCCCTTCCCCTACAGGGCAGGAAGAAAGCTGCCATATCTGGGACTCCAGCAACCTGGCTCATACTGTTTGCCCCACCCTGGTGATTCCCTGAGGCCCTATCCCAGCCAACGTTCAAGCCCACCCAAGCTGTTTCCAGTGGCTTTACCATAGGATTGGCCTGTTTTGGCTCCTGCTTTGGATTTTCCTAAATTCTCTCAAACAAGCAGCATCTGTCCACAGCGAGCCCCATACCTCTTGCTAAGTGGCTCCAGGCCCGGCATTAGAAGCAGCCAGCCTTATTCACAGCTTGGCTTTGCCTGGGCACCTCCAAGGTCAGCACAAGAAGTAGCCATTGGCAGACTGCTTTGTAGTTTATGCTGGGTGATCCTGGGAAAAACACAGGCAGTGGCTGACCTTGCTCCAGAGCCAGCACACCCAGTGGACAGCTTTAGACCACATCAAAGCACCCCCCCCCCCACCTCCACAAATGACACACTCAAGGAATGGACTCAGGGGATACCAGAGCACTGCTGAAGTAAGTCTTGCTCTGTGTGGTGGGCCCCTGCACAACTGATCATCCAAGGTAGTCAGAGGTTGGTGGTCAGTGGGCACAGCCAGTCCTTGTAGCTGATCAGCCTGAGTAAAACCATCTCATTGATATACCAAGAGCAATCAAGACTCAATTACAACAGAAGGGTATACACTCCACACAAGGAGTGTACCCTGAGGGCCCTGCTGGGTGATCAGGGAGGTTGTGCCACTAGACCCTACAGGACACCTACTACAATAGGCCACTGTATAAAGCCTAGGAGACATAGCAACTCTACCTAATACATAGAAACAAACACAGGGAGGCAGCCAAAATGAGGAGACAAAGAAGTATGTTCCAAATGAAAGAACAGAACAAAACTCCAGGTAAAGAACTAAATAAAATGGAGATAAACAACGTAACAGATGCAGAGTTCAAAACAATGCTTATGAAGACGCTCAGTGAACTTAGTAAGGCCCTCAAGAGCATAATAAAGAACCAGCCAGAAATGAAGGGTGTGGTAACTGAAATAAAGAATAATTTACAGGGAAAAAAAAATAATTTACAGGGACTCAATAGTAGAGTAGGTGAAGCCAAGAAGCAAATTATCAATTTGGACTATAAGGAAGCAAAAAACACCCTACCAGAACAGCAAAAAGAATCCCTCAAAATGAGGATAGTATAAGGGGCCTGTGGGACAACTTTAAGTGTACCAACATTCGTATCATGGGAGTGCCAGAAGGAGAAGAGAGAGAGCAAAAAATTGAAAACCTATTTGAAAAAATAATGACAGAAAACTTCCCTAATTTGCTGAAGGAAACAGACATACAAGTCCATGAAGCACAGAGTCCCAAACAAGATGAACCCAAAGAGGTCCACACCAAAACACATCATCATCAAAATGCAAAAGGTTAGCCCTGGACTGTTTGGCTCCATGGTTAGAGCATCAGCCCATGGACCAATGAGTTGCAGGTTCAATTCCTGTCAAGGGCACGTACCTTGGTTGCGGTTCATCCCCGGCCCTCATCAGGGTCATATGGGAGGTAACCAGCTGACATGTCTCTCTCACATCGATGGCTCTCTCTCTCTCTCTCCCTTCCTCCCACTCTAACCAAAGATAAATGGAAAAATATTTTTCGGTGAGGATTAAAAAAACAAAAACAAAATGCAAAAGGTTAAAGACAAAGAGAGAATCTTAAAAGGAGCAAGACAAAGGCAGTTAGTTACCTAAAATGGAGCTCCCATAAGGCTGTCAGCTTGTTTCTGAAAAGAAACTTTGCAGGCCAGGAGGAAGTGGCAACCAATATTTAAAGTGATGAAAAGCAAGGACTTACAACCAAGATTACTCTATCCTTCAAAGCTATCATTTAGAATCGATGGACATATCAAGAGTTTCCCAGACAAGAAAAAGCTGAAGGAGTTCATCACCAGCAAACTAGTATTATATGAAATGTTGACGGGCCTTTTTGAAGAAGATATAAAAATATGAACAATAAAATAGCAATAAATACATATATATCAACAACTGAATCTACAAACAAAATGAGCAAGCAGAACAGAAACAGACTCATAGATACAGAGAACTTTTTGTTGGTTGCCAGATGGGAGGGGAATTGGCTGAAAAAGATAAAAGGATTAGGAAGTACAAATTGATTGTTAGACTGCTGAACCTCAAAGGGAAGGTGGGGGGTAGAATGGGAAGAGAGAAACCAAAGAACTTATATGCATATATGCATAACCAATAGACAGACAACAGTGTGGAAAAAGCAGAAGGGGGGTGGAATTGGGGAGGAGGGGGTCAAGGAGGGAGAAAAGAGGACATCTGTAATACATTCAACAATAAAGATAAGTATAAAAAAAGAAAAATAAAAAGCTGCAAAACTGCTATTCTCTGGAGCATTTGAGATCCAGCTCCCTGGTATATGTCATCAATTTGGCTCAAATAAGTGCTCATAAAAATGTAAAGAAAAAAAGGAAGGCAAGCCACAGACTGGGAGAAAATATATGCAAAACATATCTGACACATATGTAGCATTAAAGAACTCCTTATACTGAATAAGACAAACAATCCAGTAAAAAAATTAATTAAATAGACAAGACTTGAACAACATCACCAGGGAGAGTAGCAAATAGCACATGAAAAGATGTCCAACATCATTAGCTGTGAGAAATGAAAAACCACAATTTAGAGGCACCCACTAAAACGACTAAAATTAAAAAGGTTTACTATACAAAGTGTTGTCAAGTATGTGGAAGAACAGAAATTCACTGGTTGTGGGGATGTAGTACAACCATTCTGGGAAAAGTTTGGTAACTTCACAGAGAGGTAAACATATGCCTACCATATGACCCAGCCATTCTACTCCTGAGTACTCATTCAAGAGAAATGAGAGCACATGGACATGTAAAGACTTATATGCAGCTGTAGTTGTAATAGCCCTCAAACTGGAAACAACACAAATTTCCATCAACAGGTGGACAGAAAAACAAATTGTGGTATTTCCGTACAGTGGAATACTACTCATCAATAAAATGAATGAACTGTTGATAAATGCAACACAAATCTCAAAATAATTATGCTGTATGAAGCTAGTGCAAAAAAAGTACAGGCTAAATTGCATGTATGTACAATTCTAGAAATTTGAATCTATAGTGATGGGAGCACAGGAAACTTCTAAAAATAATGGATAATTTTCATTATCTTGATTTTAGTGATTTTGTACATTATCAGAACATATCAAGTTGTATATTATAAATATATGTAATTTATTGTCAACTATACCTCAATAAAAGTATTCTAGGAAAAAGTTGTCCAGGAGGTTGCACAACCACCTGGCTCTGCCCAAAGGTGTGAGCTCTCCTGGAGCTGGGTCTGACCCCTGGTAAGGAGGCCTAACCCAGCGGTGTTATTTCTGCAGTTCCTTGTAGGAGTGGGATGAAGCTTATCTCCACTTGAAGTCACACGTTTGCTTCCCTTTAGCTTTTTTCCCTGCCCTGTCCTGTCCTTCTTACCTCACTCCTTCTAAGAGCACTTGTTCAATAAATCATACAACAATTCTCATCTCAAGCTCTGCTTCTAGGGAATCTGACCCATGACACCCTACATTAGCTTCATCTTTTTCACTCCCCTAGAACAAATTCCTATCTCAGGCTGTGCTGACCCCCTCCCCCTAAGAATGACAGCTTCATGAGGGAATATCTCCAACATCCCTAGAACAGCATCTCAAACACAGTAGGCACTCAATAAATGTGCTGAATAAAAACAGGGGAGAGCCCGACCTGTGTGGCTCAGTGGATTGAGCATCCTTCCATGGACTGAGAGGTCCCAGTTCAATTCCCAGTCAGGGCACATGCCCTGGTTGTATGCTTGATCTCCTGTAGGGGGTGTGCAGGAGACAGCCAATAGATGTTTCTCTCTCACATCAATGTTTCTATCCCTCTCTCCCTTCCTCTTTCTCTAAAAAATAAAAACATATTTTTAAAAAAACAAACATAAAATAAAAACAGGGGAGAGCCCAGGGTCTGTTTTATGGCTTGGCAGTCAGCACCCCTTTGTTTTGAGCTGATCTGGCCTGGAGGCATTGTGAGTCATAGCAGATGCACATCAGCTGAGTGGGTCAAAGAGGTTGTCAGGCCTGGGACAACAGCTCAGCACCTCCAACACATGATCCAGATGAGGAACAACACGCAGTGAGGATTCTCAGGGAAGGGTCCCCTGGAAAGATGCAACCTCAAGGGTGAGCCTAGTTGTACCTCTTGGGTCCTCTGCAGGCTTCCAAAGATGTGTTCCTGAGCCACATCTAGGGGATAGCACCACCCAGCTTCTACCCAGCTAAGTGTGAGGAATAAGCCTGTGTTGAATTAATGGAGGCATGACAGAGAGACCCCTACCCTGGAGTTCTTTCCCTTTTCACACTTCATGGGGAGAAGAGGATTTTAAAAGAGAGCATATAGTCCTCTTCTCACATGCAATAGAATCAGCACTTATGGGGGTTAGGGTGGGGAGGTGAGAGAGGGAAAATGGGACCCCTCTGTTATCTGGGCTTTAACTTCCTTGAAGATGTAGTCGGCTTAAAACAAAAGTCAGGTATAGTCTGCACAAGTCCTGTTATCTCAAGCCCTATGCATAGGTCCTAGTCCTTGGCACATGCCCCAGGAGTTCACTGGACTGTGAACTGTCTACCATCACACCTGGCTTCCGAGCTGGAGCAGCAGCATCTTGGGGACAGGCACAGGCTGGGACCCCCTACCCAGACCAGGGCCTGGCACTGAGTAGGTGCTAATTCGACGTTGCTAAATAACTGAATGATGAGGGCAGTTATGCTGTTGGTTATGCTAGACATTCTACCAAATATTCTGCAGATCCAGATCCACCCCTGGCTTTGTAATCCTTCAGCAGTGCCCTCCTCCCCCTGTCCAGCTCCCTCTTCTGCTATTCCTGGCTGAGGAATGGACACCAACCCCACCCCAAGTTCTTCCTTACTTCTGGAACATGCAAGCCTTGCCTGGCTCTTCACTCTGCTTAGAGGCTCTCCCCTATCCACCCCCAATCCACCTTGCAAAGTCCGGCACATCTCTGAAGTACCTGTCTCTAATTTTATTTCTTCCTTCCCGACCCATAACCCCTTCCAGCAGCCACCCAGTGCTCAGTGAGCAGGAGTCTGGTACTCCATTGGTATTTCTGTCCCTAAAGCCTGACCCAGCGTGGCCTTTGGGAAGGTGGTTTCAGGGGACTGTGCAGGGATGGCCTTCTCAGTGGCCAAACCTGTCCATCAGATCTCGCGGTTTGAGGGGGCAACCGTCATCACTGAGCATGCTGCTCACCCGGACCCTTGCTCCCTAGCAGTACCCGTGGCTCGCTTTCATCATTCAGAACACCAAGGGTCCCAAGGCAAGGGTGCAGCCCTGGTCACCACTGTTCTCGCAGCTCCATTCTGGGCACCCATACACCTGCCGGGGCCCACCTGGCCCTCAACCTGGAGGCCTTCGGGTGCCCGACCTTGGACAACGCCAGCGGCCTATGGGAGCAGCTGCGGCAGTTCTGGGCCAACCGCTTCTCGCGGCGCTTCTCGCCGCGGCGCCCGCCACTGCGCCATATCTCCTCCATGTCCACCTTCTACCTGCTGGACCACTGCACGCGCCACGCAGAGCTGGGCCTCAGCTACGGGGCGCCGCGCACGCGCCTCAGCGACGAGGCTTTCGTGTTCCGCGGCGGCCGCTGGACAGCTGAGGGCCCGCTGGGGCGGTCGAGGCCGCCCCTGCACCCGCCGACCATCTCCGGCTGGAAGGCGCAGGTGCAGCGCTTCAACAGCCAGGTGCTGCTGGAGGAGAACAACTACCTGAAGCTGCAGCAGGAGGTGCTCATGGACATGCTGACTGAGACCACCGCGCGCATGCACCTTCTGGAGAAAAAGCCGGAGGGTGAAGCCAGCTCGGCGGCCCCGGCGCGCGCCTGGCAGACAAAACAGCGCAGGCGCGAGGGCGTGGGCAGCGTCCTTACGCTCAAACCCCGGTGAGGCAATAAAATCTGTGTAGGGCATGCGCGCCTTTCTTCTAGCCTCCTAGCGTCTTTGTGGGGCTTCGCGCGTGACCTTCCTCCCGGTGCGGTGTGTGGGGACAGGTGTCTCAGCTGGTAGCCATCTCGTGAGGGGGTGATAAGGCCGTGGAGGACGAGCTTGTGTGGCCCCACGGGGACGCGGAGTGGGAGTCAGGCTTGCACCAGGCCTTGGGTGGGTGGGGGGGTGCAGGCAGTGACATTCTTGCTCCAAGGGATGCGGGGCGAAGTCAGGAAACCCTGGCGCTCAGGTTGGAGGGTGCGGGGAGGCTGTCAGAGCCAAGTGGGCTCGGGGACCTCGCGCTTGGCCCTCACGGCCTCTAGCGCGGGAGGGTTTGAGCCTGAGTCATGGGTAAGTGTATTTTACGACCAGGAAACTGTTACCCGGAAACAGCTTTCTGGAAATTTGGGCGCTGCCTCTCACCTGGCTGTTTGGTTTTGGCGAATCTCTTCTCCGTCACCTGCCTCCTTCTCCTTGGAATACAAGCACTCTCCAGGGATAATCCTGTACAGATAAGATTTGCCCAACCCACAATATTTAAAAATTTTGTGTTAGTTGCCAATATTTAAGAATTTGGAGTATTTCACCTTAAAATCCAGATTTCCTGTGTTCTCCAGAAAAAAACAGAAACGGCCCCCTGGACCTTCATTCTATCCAGCAGCAGTTGCGTTAAGCTGAATTGTGGCTGTCACCTCCTGGTCAGCTTTACTCTTTCCTTCAGTGTGTCTGATTTGGATCTCGCTCTAGAGCCATTTTAGATCAATGTTCTCTCCCAGAATATGGGGGAGTCCACTCCCCCCATACACAAGGTATTATATAAGGTGATGCGTGAAGTGTGTTGTACTTGTGAGTGATGTGGTTGTACAACAAAGGTGATGACACTGGTCCTTGCAATCTGCAACCTCTCCCCTATTTTGGCTTCCACCAGAAACTTGAGTTGGTAGAATTCTGACCCATTTTCCTAGGGCCATGTGAAACCTGTGAGAGAAGTAGGTGTCCTGCCTCAGCCTAACTTGCTTTTAGGAGTACAGTGGGGATTACTAAACCCTGTACTGTCAACTGTAGGTCAAATCAGCGCCAACAGGAGTTGCCAATTTAGTGAAGGGAGAGACTTGATTCAGTGAAAACAGCTTAATTGTGAAGCAGCACTGCTGTAGAACAGTTTGATTGTGAGACAGGGCAAGGAGGCCTAGGTGTTTCTGCTCACCTTGTGTTGCTGCCCATTGGTCCTTTATAAAGGTGGGCTCAGACGGCAGGAACACAGGCTAGGAGGCAGACTGCTCAGTGCAGCTTTTTTCATGAAATGCAGAGAGCAGAGAAGCCTCTGTTTAGCAATGACTATTAGACTATAAATTTCAGCCCAGTTAGCCACCAGAAATTCTCAGGGTCCACAGTATAAAATTGACCTTATTTATTAAATTAGTAAAACGCCACAAAACTTTATTAGACTAAGCTTAAAAAACATTTTTGAACATTGCTCTTTTGTATTTTTGTAATGTTTTTGATTTTTATTAATTTTTTAAAAATTCTCACTGGAGGATGAACTACAATGGAACCTGCAACTCATTGGTCCTCGGGCCAACGCTGCAACTGCTGAGCCAAACCAGCCAGGGCTGTTTTTATTGATTTTAGATGGAGAGGGGGAGAGAGATTGAAACATTGATGAGAGAGAAACACTGATCGGCTGCCTCCTGCATGCCCCCTACCAGGGATTGAGTGGAGCCAGGATGATATTCAACCAAACTGAGCCACACTGGCTGGGTGCTCTTGTATTTTAATAATTCTGTATATTAATATAGATTAAAGAAAAGTACTTAAAATTCTTATAATTGTGAAATGAGATGTCCTTTAAAAATAACTAAGAAAATAAAAAAATACAAAAATAATGAGAAGGGAATCAAAATGATACACCAGAAAAATATGAGGCATAAAAAAAGGCACTAATGGAGAAACTACATTAAGTAAAAGAAACCAGATACAAGGACAACATATGATTCTGTTTATAGAAAATATTCAAAATAGTCAAATCATAGAGACAGCCAATTGATGGTTACCAAGAGCTGGGGGAAGTGGGAAGAAGGGAGTGACTGATTAACACATGCAGGGTTTCTTTTTGGGTTGTACAAAAATTTTTGGAACTGTAGTAGTGGTTTTACAACATTGTAGATGTTTTGAAAGACATTGAATCATACACTTTAAAATACTTTCATGTGAATTTTACCACAAAACATGTTTTAAAGGGGGAAAGTGCTTTGCGTACGAACATGAAGTAAAAATTGTATGTGATGTGCAGAAATAGCAAAGATCATAAAGGTGATCCAAGAATGACAAGTTCAGGAACTGCTGTTTTGGCCAGTGCCAAGAGATCCCTGCTCTCTGTTAGAGGGATAATCAGGCCTAGGCGCAAAAGGTTGTCATGGTGCCTAGGGGTGGTATTTTCTGAGTATAAGTAGGGCTTGTAACTTGGTGGAGACAAATTTCAGTATTATTGGAGCAAGAAAAATTACAAGTAATTTGGTGAAAGGAATAAAGTTCTTAATAATTTCAAGTCAAAAGATGAGGAAAAAAAGGAAACATTGGTTTGGGGCTAAACATTTAATAAAACTAGAAACTTTTAGGATTTGGTTTAGTTTGTGGGTAGAAAAAATAAAACTTTGAAGACAATAAACTGAATTAGAGCCTAATATTCACACCCCCTCCCAAATCACCCTTATTTTTATCAAAGAGTCAAATTAAGACCAGTTTATTTACTGTATTAAGTCCAGTTTCAATTTGGCCTGATTATTTGCGTGAACACAAGAATAGCAATTAGTCATATAGACTCTCTTAAATCTGTGTTGCTAGAATTCACTTATTAGGAATCTCCAGACTGAGCTTTAATTTGCCTCTCAGGGCACAGAAGTCAAGCTACACAGTTGCCATTCAACTTTGCCTGCAATACCTATAGGTTTGGGTGGATCCCTCAAATTTTTGAGGTACCAAAATGTCGTGAGGCTCTTTCTTTGCCATCTTTCAGGAAAGCAACCCTTAAAGGTTCCTTACTTGGAAAGATTGCCATGAACCACTGACCAGGCAAGGTACCAGGCCATTTCTTCAAGGGCTTTTATTGGCTTTAAAGTCAATTTTTATTCCTTAAGGCGTTCCAGCGATATCCAGAGTCCTGGTATGTCTCTCTCAGATGTGACATTCCAGTTAAAGTCTTGGTTAATAAAACCAGTTGGAAGTTGGTCTTACTGACTTCATGCAAAGAAACATATTGCCATGAAAATAATAGTCATTAAGAGTTGCTAAGCCCTGGCCGATTTGGCTCAGCAGTTAGAACATCAGCCTGCAGTCCACAGAGACCCGGGTTTGGTTCCTGCTAAGGGCATGTACCTTGGCTGCAGTTTGTCCCCAGCCCTGGTTGGGCTGTGCGGGTGGCGGCCACTCGATGTGTCCCTTTCACATTGATGTTTCTCTCTCCCTCTCTCTCCCTCCTGCTCTGTCTGAATAAAAAATGGAAAAATGTCCTTGGGTGAGGATTAAAAAAAAAAAAAGAGTTGTCAAATTTGGAGGGATAAGGTAGGGAGGAAAATATAAATGTTTAAATATTGTTTATGAGGGTATTGTTTACCAAATTGCTCTAGGGAAAATACAAGTTTTCTTATATCTGACAAAAAGATTTTAAAATCAGCAATATTTTGAAGAAAGTTATATGAATAATAATTATTCTTGGTTCATTCACTCCCACATAACCAATTTTTGTTTATCCTGATTATTCGCCAGTATTCTCATGAATCCAGTTATTTTGTAGAGTTCTATTAATCTTCATCTAGTTTAAAGATATGATTTGCTTAGAAACCTGTCATTTAGAGTATGTCAGTTCTTTTCATGAACCTCTCCAAAGATATAACTAACATATTTGTAAATGCATCAGAGTAAAACAATGTCTATAAATGACAAACTTAAAAGACATAGTTATAGATCTGATTATAATGCAGTTGACAAAGAACTTTGCTTTTTTTGTAAGATATAACTCTCCAAGATATCAATTTCTTGGTAAATAATAATTACTATGAAATGACATAAAAGAACAATACAAAACCCACATTTATATTTAAGACACAATTTCAATAAATAAAGAACAAATAATATGCAAAACTTTTATGTTGTACATGGTTTATTGGAACACTGGAAATAATTTATAGATTTCCAATGTGTAGACCACAAACACCTGGAGTACCACTGCTAGACGCCCCCACAGGGAACCATCGCTTTTGGCTTGCCCATTGTCACTGACAGGATACCTGTTACCCTTGAGAGTTTTCTGTTTGAAGTTGGCTTTGAGTCTTTGTAGGCTGAAAATTTTAGAACATCCATTTTAATAAAAGTATATGCACACAAATAGAATATAGTTGTTATTATTGTAATTATTTATTTTGGTTAATCCTCACCTGAGGATATTTTCCCATTGATTTACTAGAGAGAATAGAAGGGAGGGAGAAAAAAGGGAGAGAGAAACATCAATGTGAGAGACATACATTTGTTACCTCCTGAACAACCCCAACTGGGGCCGGGGAGCAGGTGAACCTGCAACCCAGAATAAAACCTGAGACCCTTTGGTCCACGGGCCAACACTCTAACCACTGAGCCAAACTGGCCAGGGCTGTTATTGTTATTTTGTTTGTAAATAAATAAAGAACATGTAATTTCAAGTGTTTTAAATAGGTCTAACTAGCTCAAAAACTTTTATAAGGAGAGAAAAAAAAACTTTGAGGTATTCCAGGGGACCACTGGAATGACTCAATGTCATTTCTTGGTAAAAAAAAGTATTTTAAAATTTAAACTTTGGGAAGGTTGTCAAATATACTTAACTAAAAGATCATTTCATAAACTGTTTGTAAATCTAGGTAAAACGAACACAAATTTTATGGTAATAACTTTAAAAGACATAAATAAGCTCTGGTTGGTTTGGCTCAGCA